ACAAGGCCCAGGGCGCCGCGCGGCGGGCGTCGGGCGCGCGCGTGCGCACTGCGCGCCCCCGCTCCAAGTTTGGAGCCTGGAGCTGCCAGCCCTGGCCCATCATGTAGGTGCAGCGGAGCCTTCCCTGCCATTGCGAGCAGGGGGGGAAGGAGAGCCCCCCCCCGCCGTGCAAGCGGCCCTGCACAGTGTGCAATTGCCCGGCGCTCCCCCGCTGCACGGGGAGCTGCGGGAAGTGCCGTGCACGAAGATTTGAGCGCGGTGCAGTTTGCATCTTTGTTGCAAAACTAGCTCCCGGAGAGAGAGCGAGAGAGAGAGAGAGAGAGGGAGGCAAAGTCTTTTGTGCCTCCCCTCCCCCACCAAAGCAAAGGGGAAAATGTCTCAGGCGAGAGGTAAGGCTCCTGCTTCTGTTCCTTGCAAATATGCAAAAAGCCGTGCATGCATTTTCAAGTGCATGCATGCATTTTCTCGGGATGCAATTGCATTTTGAAGTTTGAGGCTTTCAATGGCTCTCAGTTGCATTTCCTGTTTAGTATGTGCCTTTTTGCAGACACACACACACTCACACACACAGTTCCTGTAAGGCAGGGCTTGCAGTTCAGCTGTGCATTGACGTTATTTGAATTCTTCTGCGGGGATTACTGAGCCCTTTTTGCCTTTTGCACAGTCAGGACAGATAAAGGGTGCAGAAGAACAGATGCATTCGCTACTGTGCATATGCATGCAAAATGGGCACAATGCATGTGAATTGCAGATTTACAGCGCAGTATTAAATGAAACTTTTAAAGAAGTCTGGGGAGGAGATGAAAGGTGAAACTTGAGTGGAGTTACCGGGAATTAAATATATACCTATGTTTCCATGGGAAAGTATTGTTCTTGTGCCAGGACTGAGATCATTTTCCACCGATTTCTCCTCCTTAATATTTGGTAACTTTTGGTCAGAGGCAGCAGTGTGATTTGTAACACCAGCTCGTGAAGAGCATGCAGCAGCAGGCAGCTTTATTTAGCAGTTCGGAGCAGGGGCTCAGCACTCCGGATGGAGCAGGAGGGGGATATTTGGGCAGAGGACAACAGTGATTTTTTACCAGCATGGTGGGGAAGGCTGGAACTTGATTTTAAGCTTATGATTCCTCAGGAGTTGCTTTGCCTTGTGTCCTGCAAAGAGGGAAAGCTGGGGGATTTAATATTGGAAAAAAAAAAGCTGCAGGAATGTAATAGTCCTTGCAAGAGCAGGCTGCAAGTTTAAAGAGGGAGCTGCTCTGGCCATTCATTGTGGCCACAGATGCACATATGTCAGTGCACAGCAATGCAAATGCAGCTTTCTTAGCTTCTTTTAAACATTTGGATTTCATATTGCAACTGCTTATTCCTGTATTTTGCAGGGTGTTGGAAACAGGGGGTTGAGAGCCATCGCATGGCCCAGATGGGAGGGCAATCTCCCTGCATAACTTTTCTAACAGACATGCATGAAGTTGGTGGCCTTGCACTATATGGCTTCCCAGGGGCACGTAGGAAGGAGGTGCTCTTGCCACACAGTTTTCCTTTGCAAGAAGAATGTAAAGTTGTTGTATAATTTATTCCTAATTTGGGTTTGCTGCAGTCATCTTTTCCAGCCAAGTAGCGAATTGTAAAAGTTTCCAGGAGAAAGAGCCAAGGAAGTTTGATAATGCAAAATTGAACAAAAAATGATACCCACAGCACATTTGCTTGGGGCTCCTTTGCATGTGGGAGGCTCGGAGGGACTGGACTGTGCTGGGGAAGGTGCTTCTCTCAAAAAGCCTCCAAGGTGGGGGACCCTGGTCAAGCAAAGCCCCATGCTGGGGTCACTAGGAAGGGGGAGCAGCCCCCACAGTGCCTGCACCCCACAGCTCCCAGCTCTCCCTCCACACCAGGAAAAAATGGGGAAATGCAAGTAGCCAACCCACAAAACATGATCTTCATGAATGGCATCATTCTTGAATCAGTTTTCCATCCATCTCATGCTCTGCAATTTGAGTGCCTGAAGTAGGAATTCCTTGCATAGATAACTTTTTCAAGTTCAGCTGTTTGGGCTGAGGTTTTTCTTGGGAAGGGGTTGCAGTGCCAGGGTCTGCACGAAAAGTCTCATTCTTTAGAGGGAATTAAGCAAGGCATAGCCTGCTTTTTGTCATCAGCTGCATGTACTGCACAGGAGGTCACTCTTCAGGTTTCTAAAATACTAAACAGATTTCACTGCTGAGCTGTGTAGCCTTCTCATTTTGGATTGTTGCTGAAGTTGTAAAGTTGGCAGATTTTTCTTTTTTTTTTAAAATGCACCTTGTCATGGGGACAGCAGCAAAAGATGGTCATTCTCTGATAAGACTTCCTACATGCAATGCATCTCACCCTGGTTGAGAGGCAAAACAGACCCTGTGTTTGCTATTGGAGGAGCTACTTCAAGACAACCATGGAATTTACTTTCAAAGAGAAAACTCTACCTGAGGTTGGGAAGCAAATTTCTCTGCTTCTTTCCACAGCAGAAGAGAACAGATGCTCACAGCATCTGGCTCTCAGTCCCCAGGCACATTATCTGTGTTCTGCAGGGAGACCTCTTAAGACTGTGGTCCAGACCAAGGCAGAAATAACCATCACCAGGAAGAGCACCTGCATTTTGGTGAATGGGCATTTCCAGTTCCAGGCCCCTTTTCAGTTGCAAAATGGTGTTTGGATGGATGGAGAAATATATGGAAAATACATTTTCCCCAAGCACAGGACATGCACCTTACCTTTGAAGCTGAGTTCACGCTGAACAAGTGTGACTTGGTTTTGAGAGCAGTTCAGGAGAAATTGAATTGTTGCCCAAACATGGAACTTTTGGCATGGAACTAATAGGATATTTTTCTGGAAGAAAAAATGCAGAAGTGCATATTAATTACAAGCTAAATGCAGTCTGAAGCCATAAAACTGAACTCTTGTGACAACAGATACATTCAGGAGACTTCCAAATTCATTGTAATGGATGAATTATTCACTTAGCCCACATTAGAAAAATCTGAAAATATGCAAATTTCTCCATGGAAATAGCAAAAGCGAAGGGGAGAAGTTCCCATTAGAGCACTAATTCAGAAGTAGTTCATTGAAACGAGCTATTACATTTAACTACAAAGTATTGCTGCTCATTGATCTCATTCCTAACTCTTGCACTTGGCTGTTTCAAACATGATTTTCTTCTCAGGCTCAAAAGGGATAGTGAAATTATGAGAAATATCCCACGTGATTCAGGCTGAGCATGCACCCTATGGACTTTGACCAAAGGCACTGCACCTATTTAAAATACTACTTTTAAAGTACTCTTTTCTCAACTAGAAGTGTCCATGGAACAGATATAAAGTCTGAATAGTAAATTAAAGGCATCCTTGGGTAGATGGTAGGTTTTCACTAGTATGAACATTAGCCTTTCAGTGTTGTGGGGATCCCTGTGGGTTGTGCAACATGCAGCTTACCTGCTCAGCAGCACCACCAAGCTTGTCACCATTAACACCCTCCCTTACACTGCCACTTGGCAGGACAAGGGGTTTTGCGAGAGTGAAGAGTGAATTAAGACCTAAGACCTACCACCATTGGCAAGGTGCCATTTTACAAGGCCTGGATAGTAAGAACCACCCCTGCAACTCATTTTATTTTTAAACAGAATTTACACACAAGAACAACAGTTCCCTGGTGCTAGTCAGGCTACTCCCAGCCATAGGGACACACTTGTAAGCACTTAAACTGTAAAAAAATTGCAGCAATAAAAGCATTAAATAGCAGAGGAAAAGGAGTAAAGACCTCTTTTCTCATCTCTACTGCAAGGACCATAGCTCTCTCATCACCACCCTCAGTGGTCACTACTTTAGTCACCAAAACCCCTGAGTTTCCTCTGGAGCAACAGGTTCCCCCATGACACACCTGCTGTTCAGGTGAAGTGAATGATACACAAGTAAAACCACAGGAGCAATTAAGAGAGATGAGACACTTCTTGCAGAAGCATTGGCATTAATGGGGAACACTTAGCTTCAAAGTCACACAGACTTTCCCAATTGTGTGCACCTTGGCTACGAATAACCAAAAATAGTTTTTCTCCCTGCAATATGTGATTTCAATGTCATTTTTTCCCCTCTTATTGAAAGGTTCAATCAGAAAAGACATTTAAAACTAGCTCATCTAAAACAAGTTCCTGTCCTTTAAGGTTTTAGAACAATATGGTGGCACTAGAAAAAAAATTATAAAATATGGTGGCCTTTTCCATAGCACAGGAGCACTAATCACAGCCACTGAGGCTGGAAGGGACCTCTGGAGATTATCAAGTCCAACCAAAGTGGGATGACCCATCTTTCAGGTCTCTGGGAAGATGCTTTGAGGACCACAATATCATTATGCAGTTCACAGCTGTTCCCCACCCCTGCCCACCCAAGTTGCCTGCCTGCACCCTACAAACCTGCATTCAGTCTGCACAAACCCTTCTTCCCCCCCACAGCAGCTTGTTTCAGCACCCAAACCCCACAGGAAGCCCCTCACCTCCCAGGAAACCCCAATTCCAGAAAATTACCATGCACATAGTGCAGCACATTAGTGCATAAAACTAGTAGGAAAAAAACTAATTCTAAACAACTACAGCAAGGGCAGTGGACTAGAAAGTGCACACAGACATTGTTGCAGTCACCTCTGTTTTGGGGACAGCCGGTGCATTGGAAGAGTTTGGCAATGTATCCATACAACTACTGGGCTCACAGAAGCAGCATCATTATGTAACACATGGAGTCAGTCTCAGGTGGTAAGATAAATTGTGGGACTGTTCTTTTAATTTTAGACATAGCCAGAGCTATAATTAAAAAAATGTTTCATTACCTGTAGAGTTACTTAGCTCCCTTCCTTAGGGCCTGCATGGGAATAGTTTAAGAGATTAGCATTATCAGCTAGAGCAATGTTAGCACTAAAGCAGATCTAGGACCCTGGACTCATGCCACATTAGATATTATGTTCTATGGTAAGGGCCAGTGAAGGCCGCTCAGCAAAATGTCCATATTTACTCAGTGTGCAAAAGAAATTTTGGCTTTGTCTCCCAAATCCACTTTACTTTTCATGTCAACAAGTGAAAATGGAGGAAAGTCTTTTGCATGGTAATCCTGGCTCAGTAGAAAAGAGTTTGGAAGAGGAAAACCCAAAACTCTCGATTTTTTTTTTTTTTTTGCCTCAAAGCCAAAGTTGAAGCTTTCCTTCCTTTTAAGCCAGAAACTCCAAACACTGCGTTGACATTTCAGAGTTCATCCTGTCATTAGAGCCTCTAGGGAGCTGAAACACTTCTGAGTCAGCTTTGCTTTGGAGGTGTTGCAAACAGATGCTCAACATCCTTCAGCAGAGCTCCAGAAAGCCACCGCATGTCCCCATCTTGCAG